GCAGCCAGTCGCCGATGGCGTCCGTCCAGACTGCAAGACAGGGCACAGCACGTGGCAGGCGGGCTGGGGAGAGCAGTGGGGAGGGGGAGTGGGGCCAGGCCTGGAGAGCAAGGCTCAGAGCTCCGAGTCTGCCAGGCCGGCCCAGGGCTCAGTCACTGGCAGGCAGGGTGCCGGGGCTCCTCTTGGCAAAGGCTGGGGCTGGGAGCCCCGGCTAGGCACAGAAAGGCCACGGAGCGGGCGGCTCCCTGGGGGGGTGACCCGCAAAGTCTCCCTGCTCCTGGCTCCTGACCTATCTTCTGCAGCTCCCAGTTGCAGTCCATCTGGCGCTCCGCCTGGGTCCAGTACCGGCTGTCTGTCCACAGAGCCGCCTTGTGCAGCGTCACCACGCCGGTCCCTGCCGGCCGGAGGAGAGAGCCCGTTTGCCTGGGCAGCCTCGTTCCACAGGCCCCGGAGCCGCGGGCGGCCAGGCCGCTGGCTCCCTGTGGCCCTGCCCTAGGTGCGTCTGGCTGCTCTGGGGCAGGCCGGGCGTCGCCCCAGCCACGTGGCCCAGGCATCCCCAGTTCCACTCGTGTGTGGCCCGGCCACCCTCCGCTGGGCCAGGGGAGCTGGGTCCCGCCGGGCACAGCACGGGAGAGCAGCGCTTACTCGCCTCCGGGCCAGAGGGGAGACGGCCCCACCAGGGAGACCTGGGGTTCTGCAGGGAGGGCTGGGATGAGTGAGGGGCCTGGCGGCGGCTCAGACACTGGAATTTTCTCCACGAAGAGTCTGTGAATTGGGGCTGCTGCTGGCAAACCCGGCTCACCGCCCCGTCCCCCCCGATGGGCTCTAGCGCCAGACTGTCCTGGAGCCGACTCCAGCAGGGCCCCATTAGCCCACCTGGCTAGTGCATGGGCCTGTCCTGAGGCTTCTCACAGACAGCTGCCTCAGCTTCCCAGCCTGCCTCCTACGCCAGCCCCCTGGGCGCAGGACACAGGCCCATAGGCACAGGGGGCTGGAAGAAGCATCAAGGGGGCATCTACTTCCCAGGGAAGGCCGACGGTCTTTGGGGACGTGCTCACCTGCTGAGCCCGTGAAGCCGGTAATCCACGCCAGCCGCGCATCTCGCTCAGCAATGTACTCGTTCTGGGACACAGAGACACCCCTCACAGCGCCTCTGCACCCCCAGTGACCGCTCACAGCGCGTCTGCGCCCCTCACAGCGTGTCTGAACCCGACACCCCTCACAGTGCGTCTGCGCCTCTCACAGCACGTCTGAACCCCAGACACCCCTCACAGGGCGTCTGCACCCCTCACAGCACGTCTGAACCCCAGACACCCCTCACAGGGCGTCTGCACCCCTCACAGCACGTCTGAACCCCAGACACCCCTCACAGGGCGTCTGCACCCCTCACAGCACGTCTGAACCCCAGACACCCCTCACAGGGCGTCTGCACCCCTCACAGCACGTCTGAACCCCAGACACCCCTCACAGGGCGTCTGCACCCCTCACAGCACGTCTGAACCCCAGACACCCCTCACAGGGCGTCTGCACCCCTCACAGCACGTCTGAACCCCAGACACCCCTCACAGGGCGTCTGCACCCCTCACAGCACGTCTGAACCCCAGACACCCCTCACAGGGCGTCTGCACCCCTCACAGCACGTCTGAACCCCAGACACCCCTCACAGGGCGTCTGCACCCCTCACAGCACGTCTGAACCCCAGACACCCCTCACAGGGCGTCTGCACCCCTCACAGCACGTCTGAACCCCAGACACCCCTCACAGGGCGTCTGCACCCCTCACAGCACGTCTGAACCCCAGACACCCCTCACAGGGCGTCTGCACCCCTCACAGCACGTCTGAACCCCAGACACCCCTCACAGGGCGTCTGCACCCCTCACAGCACGTCTGAACCCCAGACACCCCTCACAGGGCGTCTGCACCCCTCACAGCACGTCTGAACCCCAGACACCCCTCACAGGGCGTCTGCACCCCTCACAGCACGTCTGAACCCCAGACACCCCTCACAGGGCGTCTGCACCCCTCACAGCACGTCTGAACCCCAGACACCCCTCACAGGGCGTCTGCACCCCTCACAGCACGTCTGAACCCCAGACACCCCTCACAGGGCGTCTGCACCCCTCACAGCACGTCTGAACCCCAGACACCCCTCACAGGGCGTCTGCACCCCTCACAGCACGTCTGAACCCCAGACACCCCTCACAGGGCGTCTGCACCCCTCACAGCACGTCTGAACCCCAGACACCCCTCACAGGGCGTCTGCACCCCTCACAGCACGTCTGAACCCCAGACACCCCTCACAGGGCGTCTGCACCCCTCACAGCACGTCTGAACCCCAGACACCCCTCACAGGGCGTCTGCACCCCTCACAGCACGTCTGAACCCCAGACACCCCTCACAGGGCGTCTGCACCCCTCACAGCACGTCTGAACCCCAGACACCCCTCACAGTGCGTCTGCGCCCCTCACAGCGTGTCTGAACCCGACACCCCTCACAGCGCGTCTGCACCCCACAGTGACACCCCTCACAGCACGATTGTCTCCCCACAGTGACACCCCAGCTCAGTGCACGACTGCTCCCTCAAGACCCCCCGCAGAGCACACACCTCCCCCTCCCCCCCAGCTGAGCGCTGCTGCCCAGGGAGCGAGCTGAACAGCCCGGCACTAGCGGGCAGCCGGTGCCCGCGGGGCGCA